AATAGGTTAGCCTAATTGAATTCACAAGGAGATGGTTAGTAGCAATTTTCCTCCACGAGTATCTCCACTCGACCGCATTTTAATTGAGCAAGTTCAGATCGAGGTTCAGATCGAGTCGCGAACAAACGGAGCACTTTCACATGTAGTTAATGATTAGTATTTGAACGCTCGCACCAACCCGACTAACCGTCGGCGATTCCGCGTGACTCACCACCAGCATCAGATTAGTGACGACCATCTAATTTGTCATGGGTTGTACACTCGTGCCCGTTTGCTGAGCTGCTGGTGATTGCTTCACCTGAGGGACTGGAACAGCCCCCCCTCCCCCCCGGAGCGTTTGTCTGTGCCGCCACTACTGCTGGATAAAATTCTCCCGTGTACGTGTTGCACGATAGCACAGTGTACGTCTCTGTAGTTGTCGGTGGGAATGTTGGCGGTGTCGGGCTATTGAATAAGGGAAGCGCTGAATTCAGAAAGTGGCCCGCAGGAAGCGGATGGAGATATGAGTGGGGTAGTGAATGCAGTGCTGGGACGAAGGGGTGTGCCAAGATGGTGTCCACTGCCATGGGACCTAACGGAGGATGCATCAGCTTGGTAACTGCAAGTGTCAGCCACGGAATGTTCCCGAAATTGGGGTGTGGAGGACCCACCGGACCGCCAACCATAGGTACACCAATGGAGTTGTCCGGGATTGTATGGTGTGCTTTGTTGTACGGCTGCTCGGTAGAAATCTGGTGTTGTATACTTTTGGCAATACCCGTGGGAGTTTTGTTGCTGGTCATCGTGCAGTTGACATCGGGTTGTGGGACTGCAGAGGAGGGATTGGGAGACTGAACTGGACTGCGGTAGGGTGAAGGGACGGCTAGTGAATTTGGCGGGGTCACAACAGTCCCGGTATTCTCGCAGCTCATGGTTCGACAGTGAACTCCTTGCAAAGAGAGTGCGGATCCAAGGCGGCTGACGGCTGGTGTACTTGATTGACTGTCTAGGCCACTGGAGCATGACTGTTTCCGTCTATAAATGAAACGGCAGATTTTAAGCACGTTGCTTTAATAAGGGAAACTGAAAGTAAATCTGAGGTGCTACAAATTAAAAACCTTACCTAACTTCTCACCTGTCGAAAAAATGGCTCATTTATGTGCAACTAACAGTAAGCCATCTAAAATGGGTGTTCTATTTTTGAGCAAACTTCTGATGCACATTTGGCATTTTACACGCCTGTTCACCTGCAGACATTTGTGCAGGCTAAGGAAAGCATTTGGATCAACTATCGATTTAAAGTTGATGGCCACCACCTGGCCGGTTTGTTAATGAATGGGGAACCTGGTAGATTTAATCAGTTGGATTCGATGTGAGTCAACTTATGCAAATCGAAGAAAGCCGATCCAGTCAAATACTCGCGAATGCCGGTCGTTAGGAAATGGATGCCGATTCCCATTCATATTTTCAAGTCGATTTCCAAACATTTACATCCCACCAGCGTCAGTCAAATTAGGCTGTCATACTAGGAAGGTAATATAAACAGACTTATTCTGAATGAATTTAACGGGTTTTACACTCCACACAGGACAGCCAAAGACAACGGAAGAAAGACCAACAAAAGCAACGCCGCTCACTTGTGAAAATCTCCCAGTAGATATATTTCTGTTGAAGTGTATATCTGTGCATAGGCAACCAAGTCACTTTTGACAGTCACAGAGCCATGGGATGACCTATCTCAGTGCCAGTATTTTGCACACCCCTACACACACACGCACCTTATGTCACTTATGGTTGCAGCTTCGCTGTGCATCTGCGTCTAACTCGATATAGTGAATATGCGGATAGCACAGAAGGAGACACTGAAGAAACACGTAACATGCTTGAAGCTGTGACAAGAGCGTAGCACGTAAAACGCACACTCACCCATGCTTGACCACTTAAGTAAACGCAGCGCTTAGGTCAATTCAGGTGCTATCAATCAACGGGCGCCGCTAGACATTACCAGTCGGACTGTCACTAAATGTCGAGTGTGATATGATCGTTGGAACATGCAACCAGCGCGAAAAAAATGAAACCGTACGAATAAGGAGCGTATGGTGTGCCCTGCAGAACAGGCATAAACCACTCACCGGTAACCACTGATGTCATCATATTGGGAAATGAAGACTGACAATCAAAGGAACAGTTTGCGTGTTGACAGATGGTAAAATATAATATGGAATCTGTCTCGACTGCCGTCTATCTCTTCAAACCGAGTGAAACAGTCCCAGGAGTCAGTTTATTCCATTTGCTATGAAATGAATCGAGTTGGGGCACCGGGTGAGGATACCTTGGCTCCGGACCTCAGCTGGCCTCAGCACACTCAGCACTTTCTCTTTCAAGGATTTTTAAACGCTCATGCTTCCGAGGGCACTTTTTAAGAGCATTTTATCTGGTTCTTCACATGTCCTCCTACAATCAACGCCAGGATAATTTACACACGTGATGTTTTCGCGTCGAATAGCAATGCGTTGCAAACTACAAAAACTGATGTAAATCCACAAAGAAGCATTGTATAGTGTTGAAGCCCACTCTTCGGGAGAAAAAGCTCGCAAGTATGAGCATGCTCGATTAGCCATAACCAATGTCCGCGCACTTCAGGGGAAAATGGAAGATGATATTGCTATAATCAGATGTCTTGCATACATATGATTGAGTCATAATGCCCAAGCAGACTTAGCACCACATAGATGTTGAAGACGCAGTTGTACAGTTGACGATAATATTTGCCACCGACCACTCAAGTACCGGAAACGTGCCGGCTGCCTCATCATCCTCTGGGTGTTTGTCAGTAAACAGTTATACTACTCGTCGAAAAGTATTAATCGCCGACTCCTAAGATGTACGTCGAAATATCTGAGTGGATCCCGCTCTGTTCTGCTGCCCGATATTGACCAGTTGCCCTGATACAGAATTAGACAAAATTTTACTTGCAATTGCTCCGGCGATTTCAATACATTCGACACCACATTCATTGCATCTATCGAGCTACAGATTGAGGCAAATGTCCCCTAAGGTTAGGGGTAACGCTGGTCAGGATGTTTGTTGCTAATGTGGATATATGTTCGGTGGGCAAATTAGCATCATTTGGCAGCGCAGACCATACTATATTCACGCTATCCCATGCTGCCTACAATACGTCAAACCACAAGATGTCACTAGTTGCAATCGTCACAGACTAGAATGGAATTAATTCCCTCCTCTAAACGCAACGCAGCCGCGGAAAGCGGTTACCTCCAGTGATTTCAGTTTGCTCTATGATACCGGTATGTCAGTATCTACGAGCAAATAACAATTCATCCGAGGTTCTGTTTAATCTTTACTGTCCGACGACAACAGTTTCCATTCGTGCCAATCGGTTATCTTCACCACACTTCAAGCAGTTAGGTAGACTCAGTGAGAGCGATTCAAAACAAAGATAATGCATTCTGGACGACCCTTTTTTCGTAGCAAATGAGTATGGCACCACCTTCATCCTGCTTAGGCACATGCAACTATGGGAAACAACAGTTGACAGAGATAAGGCGAACGGTAAAGCAACTGAGTGGAGTCGCTTGTCCTGGCATGAATTCTGGCGCGAAAGTCTAAGAATTAATTCGAAACTTCTGTGACTCATTCTCTGATTCATCATCTACACGGCTTCAACGGCCTACGGATTCATCGTCTCCTGCTGATATTACGTTGCTGTACAGGAAGGTAGTCAAACCACATTCAGATAAGTCAAGCGGATCTGACATGCTGTCTTACGTTGTCCACGAAATATGTGCGCATTCATTAGCCCAGCCTCTGGCTGCGCTGTATACAATGCGCATAAAGCAAGGAAATTGGCGAATGATTGGAGGACCGCTAGCCTAACGCAAGTACGGAAAAATCAGATGGGTAAATATCAGCCTATTGCATACACTTCGGAGGTTTTGAAAGATTTTGGGAAAATTACTATTGTGTTACACTAACTGCGTCTAAATGACTAATATCAGTTTGCATAACGCAGTTTGAGGTCCATACAAAAGGCAGCAACTTGTCTAGTGCATTCGGTTTTCTCGTCGTTAGACTGCAAAAACAAATCCATGTCTTCTGCTGTTTTGACCTTGAATTGTCGTTGCTACATCTTGTCACTTATGGTGTTCGACCTTCCTTTGTCTGCACAATGCCTACTCGGGTCGCAAGACTTGGCGGCAGAAGGTCCTCCCCCTTACCACAACTTGCTATGTCCCCCAAATGATCTATTCCGCTCAACAATCATATTCTGCACAGACGTTGACATCATATCTATCTCCAAGAATACATCTTGCAAAAACAGGCGCATGCTGAGGTTATCGGTGCGAGTCTTCCAATCTCAGCCTCTTCCAACCACCTCGCGACTTTGTGTGGTGTTCTGCTACTTATTCCTCAAATGCAGATAACGTAAACGCAGTTGGAAAGCAGTACCAACTGTAGACAACGGATAACGAAGCCAAGCTAAACATGGCGATAATTTGGGCTCCATCCCCATCCCATTGGCACAGCTCTCTAGATACTTTGAGAATTTCGCTGAAAGAGGGAGGTAAGTAGCTTTCAATCCCTGACACCGACTTCTGTTCCCTTGTGAATCACCGGAACTAGTGCTGACAAGCAAGACAAGTCAAACAATGTAGTTCTCACACGAGCTACAGAATCGATCGGAAGGCAAGCTTACCGATGTATATGAAGCCGAATTCCGTTAGGAAGCAGACACTGGCACGTGGACTTATATAGCCAAGGAGCCAAGCAATCTTTCCGTGTGACTGTAAAGGAAGTGTGTACAGCTTAGAAGCATGCCCATACGAATATGCCTCAATTCTACTAAACTATGAAGTTAGATACGATTTTGAGTAAATTTTGAAGTGCATCTGTTCGTAGAACGGAGTTGTATTAGGTCACAATACCTTTTTTCTGCACCTGACCGACACACACTATGACCAGTAGAGGTGTTAATTTATTGGGCGGAAATTTGAGAGGGATAGCATGGTTAACAGAGGTTAATTTGTAGCAATAACCCTGAGGTAGGTTGTTGGGATCTTGGTTTATTCTGTTCGATAAATGTCAGACTCGTGGAATCGACATGGATTCTTGGCATGAATGGATTCCGGATGCGCAAGTCACTGTGATTATGAACACCCGAAGGTCACTTCGGTACACAGCGATAGTATGGTTAGTTTTGGTTGCATTGCAAACCGCATCACACACACACACTCTTCAGGCACATTATATCTAGCACAAACGTGGCGGAAGCAAAACAGGAGGCTAGCGGATGGGAGTCAAGATCGATTCGGAGCCTGCCCGCACAAACCTTCTCAACATGCACACATGGTTGATGTAAAGTGTAGGAAAGCATACGCACGAGATATACTGCATATTACAGAATATAATCCCGCCCACAGATAAGCCGAGAGTATAACTTTGCAATATTCAATTGTTCCAAAGTCCTAAGTCCCTGTATCAGCCGACCCCTAAAAAATCAGCAAGAGAAACGAAATTGTTTATGTACGATTTGGACGTCACCACTATCTGCTCTCACTTGAGTATGCTCGAGGGAAAGCTGCTCTACTATTGGTCAGTTGTGGTGAACGTAATATGTTATAATCGCGGCTAATGGGGGTAGGGTAGTCAGAACAGATTTTACCGCACCGGACAATGTATTGACCATATGTTGAGTCCCTTGAAACAGGCAAGACAGCCGACAATATAGGGTAAGGTAAGCGGATGTCAGAAAGACCGCCTCGCACAGTTGGCAGCGTCATACATATGAACCTCAGTGGGTGAGAGTGAAGTTGACCGTCAGACGCGTAGGACGACGTTGTATCAGGTCGCCTGACATAATGTAGTGTTTAATGGTTGTTGATTTGCTACTGTCATACGTCGGGAACGTTAA